GTGAGGTGATGTTTTAGTGCATTTCTGCTGCTGTAACAGAATGGCTGAGACTGGGTAATTTATAAAGAACAGGAATTTATTTCTTCACAGTTCTGCAGGCTGAGATGCCCAAGACCAGGGAGCCAACATCTGGTCTGGTGAGGACTTTCTTCTTGTGTCCTTACATAGCAGAGGAAGGCAGGAGAGGGCAAACTCCGTGTCCTCATTTGACAGAACAGAAGAGAAAACCCACTCTGGCAAGTCCTTGTCCTAGAGCAGAGCTTGGGACCYAAACACTCCCCATTAGGCCCCACCTCTCAACACTGTTGCACTGGGGACCAAGTGTCCAGAACATGAATTTTAGAGGACACATTCATAAGAGTTATTATCTTGGGCCTGCTTCCCTACCATTGTCCTGCTTTCCTGCCATTGTCTTGGACCAACAGGAACCCACACCTGGCACAGTGTCCTTCAGACAAAAGTCAGGGTAGCACCGAGCTCAGGCTTGCCAATGCTGTAAGGACCAGGGGGCTTTTTGCACCTGTCATGCAAAAGCTAAAAAAGGGTTCTGTAGCTCTATGGATATATGAGAAGACAAAGACATTAGGGCAGACAGCATGATAGGAAATACAGAAAGCTGCTGCACAGTTTGCCACAAAGATAAAACAACTGTAGACATTAATTTACCTAATAAAATATCCTTATATGAAGCAAAACATGATAGATGATAGAAGAAATGGATAAACCCAGCATCATGGTGAGGGATTTAAATGTATTTTACTTGATTATAAATATCTGCAATAATATAAAAAATAAGAACTTTGCAACTAACAGTGTTGACCTAATGGGCTACGAGAAGTTCTGCATCCAATAATGAGACAATTACATTTTCTTTACTACATTCTTTACTACATACCATTTTACAAAGCCAGCATAACCCTGACAATGAAGTAAAAAACATTAAAGGAAAACACACATATTATACAGACCATGATTTATGAGCACACAACATGAATTAGTTAAGCTAGAAGTTAACACTGCTCAGTAGCTCATGGGTTAAAAATAAAGTGGGAATTCAGCTGAAGCAGTTAGCCAAGAGTAGTTTATAGCCTGAAAAGCTTATCATAGAAAAGATGCACCAAAATTAAGGATTAAAGTTAGGAAAGAAAATAATCCCAAAGAAAGCAAGAGCAAAGACATAATATAAATAAAAGTGGAAATTAATGAATTAGGAACAAGAAAAATAAGGGCAGAAAATAATGACATACAGTCGAACCTGAATTCCTTTAAAAAACCCATCAACAAAACAGATAATCCCCTGATTATAATTAATTAAAATTACAACAAAAAGGTGGTATAACTACAAATTAATAAATATTAAAAGGCTAATAATAAAATACTAACAAACTATATTTGAAATCTTACATGGCATGTGAAAATTCTTAGAAAATTTAGATAAAATGAATATATCTCAACAAGATTTGTTTGTAGAATTTGATAATTCTACAGTTTGTATTAAATTCTGAATTCTAAACAGCTATTTCTTAAAACTGATGCAAGAAAAAATAAAAAAGCTTGGATAGTCCTATAACTAGTAAAAGAACAGAAGCACTGGTTTGAAAAATCTTTCCAGAAAGAGGATGCCATGTTCAGATTGTTTAAAACATATTCTTCTAAAGTTTGAAGGACTGGAATATTCCAGCTTTATAGACTCTTTCAGGTAATAATAATAAAAAGGAAAATTCCTAAACCCATTTTACAAATCCAGTATAACCCTGACAATGAAGTAAAAAACATTAAAGGAAAATGACAGCCCTATTTCACTCATGAATATACAAGAAAAATATAAGCAAAAACAGTAACAAATAAAATCAAACAAAATTTTAAAATAAATAACAAAGTAAGAAAGGTGCAGTGGCAATACCTGTAGTAATTCCAGCAACATGGAAGGCTTAGGCAGAAGGATGGAAGCCAGCCTTAGCAACTCAGCAAGACCTTGAGCAACTTAGGAGGGGGGGGGGGGGATGATGTAGCTCAGTGGTTAAATGCTCCTGGGTTCAATCACTAGTACCAATAAACACAAACAAATGAATCAAAGAATGCACAAATTAGATTTATCTCATGAACACAAACTTTTTAAGCTTAATATTAAGAAATTTATAAGTGTAATTTGTAGTGTTAATGGATTTTACTGCATATTCTCCATTTGCCTGTCAGATTTACTCTCCTCCATCCTTCTTGTATCCATAGAGACTCACGCCCCTCTCCCTTTCTCTGGGACTTCCAGTTGGATCCAGCCAATGGCAGCAGTCAGGAGACTGGAAAAGCAGATTTCTTCTATAACCTCTATGCTCTGAAAAGCCTTAGTTTGGCAGTGGTTACTTGTCTTTACCCGATGCCACAGGGCTTATCAAACAGCACCTCCCCATGACCCCAGCTATCTTCAGGTCCTGGTAACAAGGCCTCCTGCAACCCCTTCAGGCTCAGGGCTGGAAGACTGGTTGCTTCTCTGTCCCTTCTGACTCACTTGTAGCTGACCATGCCACTGCAAATGGTTTCACAGTTTAAGTCTCTTCACTTGTTCCTTCGAATACACTGTTTGTGCTGGGATCTGAATGGCACACAAAGTAAAAGAGAAAATTGTGTCATTATCTCAAGAGATGCAAAAAAAAAAAAAATTAATGAAAAGAAATATGCATTACCACAAAAATTCTTAGTAAATTATGACTAGAGAACATACATTCCTGATAAGTAAATATAAAATCCCTAGACATCATCCTAAATGAGAAGACTTTACAAAAATTCCTTTGAAAATTGGGAAACAAGACAAGGGTGCCCTGTCACCACTTCCGTTTAGCATAGCACTAGACTTCCTAACCTGGAGGTCCTAGCCATTGAAGAAAAGAACTTAGGAGCTGGGCATGGTGACACATACCTGGGGCCTACAGATTGGAAAGGAAAAAATAAAATGCTACAGCCATGTGCTTAGCACATGCAAGGTCCTGAGTTCAACTATCACTATCAAAATACACTAACCAACCTCACTTTAATACTTATATAAATAAAACATTAAATTTATGGTAACCTGTTAAGCAGCAATAGGCAAATTAATGAAAATACCAAATTCTTTTTTTTTTAATGTGTGTGTGAGAGAGAGAGAGAGAGAGAGAATTTTTTAATATTTATTTTTTAGTTTTTCGGCGGATACAACATCTGGGTTTTTTTTTAATATATATTTTTTGAATTTTTATTTTTTTTTTAATATTTATTTTTTTAGTTCTCGGCGGACACAACATCTTTGTTGGTATGTGGTGCTGAGGATCGAACCTGGGCCACACACACTCCAGGCGAGAGCGCTACCAGTTGAGCCACATCCCCAGTCCAACATCTGTTTTTTTTTTAATATGTGGTACTGAGGATTGAACCCTGGCCCCACGCATGCCAGGCGAGCGCACTACCGCTTGAGCCATATCCCCAGCCCGAAAAATACCAAATTCTTAGGAATAAATATGAAAGATAGAAAACATCTATAGGAAAATGCATGAACTGAGAGAGATGACTTCTGAATATAGATATTAAAAATTCATAAAATGAAAGTTATGTGATTTCCAGTTTCCAAATAGGCCTATAGATCCAATGCAGTGCTGATTAAAAAACAAACAACAACAACAAAAAACCTCAAGATTTGTTTGTAGAAGCTGATGATGCTAAAGTTTGTATTAAATTSTGAATTATAAACAGCTACATCTAAACTAGATATTAAAATGTAGGAGTAAAGGGCTGAACATAGCCAGGATACACATCAGTTGTTTTCCACTCTGAGATCACTGGGAACAAAAACTAGAGAGCCCCAATCTTTAGTGAAGATGGAGTTTGCCAAATGCATGGGTATCTAAATCTTGTTTGGAGGCAACATTTTTAAAGTGCATTTTTTCAAATGCTGGGCTAACAATGTACTATTCTTGGATTTCCGGATGTGGGGGGAGAGTAAGGGTGTGTTTAAATTTTCCAATGGATGTGAATAAACAAATCCAATGTAGCAAGGTTCAGAGCAGGGATTAAAGCATACCACTGAATAGTCCCTCCAAATCCCCCCTTCTCTGCCCAATTTAAATCCACTCTAAGCCCTTTCCTGGTAGTCACGCAAAAAATTAAGTATTAACACTTTACCTCAAAGGCCTTTGGATAACTGCAAAGAAATCGGCTGTACTATTTATGGTTACAATTAGACCTATTCACTAAAAGTTACAAAAGGGTCCTGACAATGCTTTGTAACTCCAAATACTAACATTGTTTCTCAAGACAAAATGCATTTGCTTTTTAAAAGTTTTCTATAAATGCATTATGGAGGCTATTACGTATTATGGGCAAATGCGGCAACTGCCTGCAGAATTATTAGAGTTCAGCCTTTGTCAACTGTGCGTTCAACTTAAAAAAAAAGAGAGAAAGAAAAAAGAATAGGCGATTTCTTTCTTTTCTCCTTTCTATGTACGTATCCCAAAGTTCAAATTTATTCTACTAATTCCAAGATTTTTTCTGAATGCATGCCTCTAGGGAAGATGAGGGAAGTCAGATATTTGGGAAGATTAACCAAGTCCATCATTTTAATAAAAAGCAAGGAATGTTCCTTTAGATCCAAGTAGTATGCTACATTAAATAGGTCAAAACACTGACTCGTCATTTAAACACTATTTCTGAGTGCACACTCCTACATATAAACTGTAATGCCTCGTTATGAAATATTCACATATATTTTACATACTTTCTTATCAAAGGACGAAATTTTGCAATTATCCTAAATCTATTTTATTATCGAGTGATGATGGGGTAAACATCGGAAACATCCAACATCGGAACAGTGGCCAGTCAAGCTGGCTTCCCTAAGACGCGACTGCGCTCTGATCGCTGCGGACGCGATCGCCCCGACTTGGGAGGAGAAGGGTCGTTTCTCCGTTATTTCAGCCACAAAGGGTTTCTTTATAAAAAGCTGACTCCAGAGCCAGCGTTCCCTATTCCTACGCCGGCTGATGGCTCGGGGGATCTGTGCAACCGCAGCTGCTCGGCCTGGGCGGACGTATGCGGCACCCCGCGACCCAGGAGAGCCGGGCACTCAGGCGAGCCAGGCACCCAGACGCGCGAACCTCGCGCCACCTCCTTCGTCGGACCACCCAACTCTGTCAGCTCGTTGCGCAGCCACCCGGGTGCTGCTTCCGCGAAGCACTGAGAAGGCTGAAGCCCCGCCCCTGATGGTGATCGACGGGCAGTTTTATCCAATGGCCACCGCGCTCGGTCTGGGGGGTGGGGCCAGAGCCAGGCGCGCGGAGGGATCTCGCCTGCCCTCTAGTCCCGGATCAGGTGTTGCGGCCGGCGCCATTTTCTCGAGCCTCTTGTCTCGGGTGCCGCCATGTTGGTGAGGAGAAATCACCGTTACGGCCACTGTCCAAATCCCCGCGTCGCCGCCCGCCGCCCGCCCGCTCCCACGCCTCAGCCACCGGCGGCGGATAGAGACTAGAGCGGCAGCGCCGGCAGCGCGGGCCGTTGCCCCGTGTGTGCAGTTAGAGCCCCATCTCTCTGGCGTGGTGGTTAATAGACTGGAAAGTCTGTGTGTGTCGCTCACTAGTAACCGTGAGTTTTTACCACCTCGTCACCGCCGGCGGCGGCCGGGAGCAGCACCCGCGGGCGGCGCAGGGGCCTCCCGCCGCCGCCGCTGCAGACCGCCCTGCAGCCCCGCCCCGTTCTGACCAAACATGACAGACTCTGAACATGCAGGGCTCGGCAGGTCGGGACCGTCTGTCTTTCTGTCGGATGAGGAGGGGGCGGGCGCGGGGCGGGCGGGGCCGGGCGCCCCTGCATGACTCGGACGTCTCTGTGTGGCTCCGTCGCCGCCGCTGCGCGCGCCCCGACCCGGCCCGGCCGGCGGGGAGGCCGCCCGCGACCCCCGCCCCGCCGGCCGCCGGCCCGGGCCCTCCCGCGGCCCGCGGCACCGGCTGAGCGCTTCGCGGCGCCTGGCCGCCGGACCGCCGAGCACGCCCGGAAGCAGACGCGCTTGCGTTTAGGAGATGCTAGCGCCCCGGCCCTGGGCTAGGTGCAGCAGCCCCCGCCCCTCGCCAGGCCTTGTGCTGGGTGCAGGAGCCCCCGCCCCAGGCCAGGCTTTGAGCTAGGTGAAAAAGCCCCCCACCCCATCTCAGGCCTTGTGCTGGGTGCAGACGCCCCCGCCCCAGGCCAGGCCTTGAGCTAGGTGCAGAATACCCCCACCCCATCTCAGGCCTTGTGCTGGGTGCAGAAGCTCTCGCCCCAGGCCAGGCCTTGAGCTAGGTGCAGAAGACCCCCCACCCATCTTAGGCCTTGTGCTGGGTGCAGAAGCTCCCGCCCCAGGCTAGGCCTTGAACTAGGTGCAGAAGACCCCCACCCCATCTCAGGCCCTGTGCTAGGTGCAGAAGACCCCCCACCCCATCTTAGGCCTTGTGCTAGGTGCAGAAGCCCCTACCCCAGGCCAGGCCCTTGACGTAGGTGCAGAAGTCCCCCCACCCCTTGCCATGCCTTGTGCTGGGTGCGGAAGCCCCCGCACCTCATTTTAGGTCTTGTGCTGGGCACAGAAGCCCTCGCCCCATCCCAAGTCTTCCTCTCCCGCGCAGAAGAACCTCACCCACCCCAGGTCCTATGCTGGGTGCAAAACCCCTAACCCCAGGCCTGAGCTAGGTATTGAAACCTCCAACCCACCCCAGGCCCAGTATTAGATGCAGAACTCACGCCTTCAGCTTTGTGTTAGGTACAGGAGCCCTCAACCCCACTCCACTTCAGCTTTACCCCTTAGAATCTGCAATGGCAATACACTAACAGGAAAATCTTAGACTGCGGACCTTAGCACAATTTCCTTCAAAACGCCACTGATTATTCACCCCAGCTCTATTTTCTAGATGTTGTACATCACTTGAACTTCATTAAACTGAGATTCCTATTTCCAACTTCAGTTTTGCTCTGCCTTAAGAGGCACATCCTTGGTTCCATTTAACCATTCGGGGGCATTTTCAAAGTATACTTTAGCACACTTAAGTTTGGTTAAATTTCAAGTTCCCATTCACATCTTAATCATTTAGAAAGGGGGGCTTCCTTCATTAAAACTATTGGAACAAAATCCCTTGCATCTGATTCTTATTTAGAATATTATTTTGAAAATCTAGACCCTCACCATTAAGCCATTGTGATTAGAATTAGTCAAAAGTATACATAGAGTTTATATAAGAATTGCTGAAGTTTACCTGTGGAGTAATGTGATGTGCTTGTATAAAGCATTGCAAACACTTTTTTTTTTAAACCTAAAAGCAAAAATCACAAACATCATTGAAATCTGAAATATATAAATATTTGGCATTCTTAAGAAACTTAAAAAGTGTGAAACAACTTGAGTACTATAATAATAAAAGTAGATCCCCAGAAGACAAGTCAATCAAATGTGTTGTAATTTTTAGAAAGTAATGTGCACTCTGAAAATAATAGTTGCATAAGCTTGCACTTGACACATTCTTTATGATTTTTTAGCATTATTATTTTTTTTTTTGGGGGGGGTCCCACTGGTAATGAACCCAGGTCCTTGCACTTTCTTAGGCTCTACCACTGAACTTCATCCCCAGCCCAACATTCATTATCAGAAAATTCTTGGAATGGTTAACTAATAACCTTGAAAAGTTTCCCACTCTGAATATTTGGACAAACCAATGATGGAGTTTCTTTAATGAAGCCTAAAATTAATACTTTTATATGAACAAAGGAAATCTGTTCTCATCTGTTAGTGGACAAAGTAGCTTCAACATGTAGAATTGTATATTCTATATAATGAAGAAACCATGTCACCAAATTTAGGGATCAAAATGATTTTGCAAGTAAAGAATTGTGATTCCAGACATTAGAAAGTATTTGAAAATTGAAAATAACTGATTTAGAGGTTAAAATGAAAACTTTAAAAGAATTCTTTGTAAGATGTATGAACAGCTTAGTATTAGGAACTAAGGATTAATAGTAGTGATGTTTAAGCCTATTGTTTTAAATTAGAACTAAGAAAATATTTTCTAGTTAGCTCCATTTTAACTTATGCAGTTGTTAAGAAGCAAAAAGAGTTTTTTTCCCCCCCTATACCTTTTGTCAAAGACAAAATAACTACATATAAAAACAGTGAACAAGAAGTCAGGAGAAGGTTTTAGCTCTAGCTTTGCAACCACTTAGCTTTATGAACTTATGTGGGCCTAATTTCTTAATTGATAAGATGGTTCTACCAGAAATTTTCAAGTTCTATAGATTAATATTTCTCAGCCTTCCCTGGGAGTAATGATGCTGCTTCCATTGATCTGGACCTCAGCCAGGATTTTTAGATTTTTGAAAAGCTGTCCAGGAAATTCTAATATGTGCCAAACTAAAAACTAGTGTATTAGGTCAACCAGTATTTCCCAGCATTAGCTTGTCAGACTCATTTTGATCAAGAACAAAGATTTTGTCCTGCCCAAAGCAATAGAATCAATCTCTAGAGTAGGTTTGTGGTAATCTGTATTTCTAACAAGCATCTAAATGATTCTTAAGGAATTTTGGGGAAAATTAACTCATCTGTGGATTCCTCAAATATTCTGGGCTTCTGTATTTAAACTATTTTATAATAGAAATTTCTGTGAATTAGGTGAAAGGTATATAAAATTTGTTATATAGAGCTAGGTATTATCCCAAGGATTCTTTTGGTAGTTTTGAAAATTTAAGGTATATTGCATGTGCAGGAAAAAAAGCAAAATCTGATTATATTATGGATTTTATATACAAATTTAAGTATTATAATTTTCAGGAGAATTGAGATTCTAAATGTAAATGGAATTCATAGAATGCAATTTTCTCTCCTTTGATTACTTTCTTGTACATGTTTTATATGGTGAATGTTTTGCACAAGATTTATTTGCCAAAATGCATTCTACTATCATGTATAACTAATTAGAACAAATAAATTTCCCAATTTTGCTTGAACATAAAAAAAGTTTTATTTTCCAAATGAGTAACTTTTAAAAAATATCCATTTGATGTACTTTCCTTTAAATAATTTTATACCTGGAGTTAAAACATTGCAGTTTATGAAGTGCTATTACAATAACACAACCTGTGAATAAGCTGGTAAATTAATGTAGACTGTTAGTATTCTACATAAGCCTGGAGCCTAGTTTCTAAAGGTCTTTAGAAATAATAGAGATGGAGAGAAAGAAGATAGGGAAAGCCAAAGGGAGGTAATCCTTGATTCTTCATTTCAGTTCTTCTCTTTCATTCACTTTTCCAGGGCACAGTCCTAGCAACCCTTTCAGCTAGATGTTGACCCAATTAAAACAATTCACAAACAACTCTTTTGTTAAATGGTGCTGAGGATTGAACCTAGGACATCATGTATTCTCCCACTAGTGCTGCACCACTAAGCTACACCTCTCAACCTTACAAACAACTCTTGAAGATTAAATGCTGAGTCCCTACTTTGCACACATCTCCACAAAAGTAGGAAAAGATAAATATAACAAGTAATTTTAGGTTGTTTTGAAATATGCTAATGGTAAAAAGTTTTGCAGGGCCCAGACCAAAAAAAAGCTAATTTTAGCATGAACTGGTTTAAGATCTTATGATTCCCATTCTTTCTTTTTTAGTTGTTGATGGACCTTTATTTTATTTATTTACATGTGGTGCTGAGAGTTGAAATCTAGTGCCTCAGGTATGCTAGGCAAGTGCTCTACCACTGAGATACAGCCCCAGCTGATTCTCATTCTTTTTTTTTTTTAAATATCTTTATTTTACATTTATGTGGTGCTGGTGCCTTGTGCATGCTAGGCAAGTGCTCTATCACTGAGCTACAACCCCAGCCCCATGACTCCCATTCTTTAATTGATAGGAGGTATGGATAATATAGGAGGTATGAATATTATTCTTTGCCCATATGAGCAGTTTACCTATTTTTTCTTCCCATTCTGCTTTCCTCCTTCTGTAACACACAAATAGCAAAACTTCAACTAGTCAGGTTTATGATTCATATGCCTTCCCAGCCCTGCAGATGGATTGAGGTCTTGAGACAACTGGAGAATCTGAGGAAATGAGGATGGAGATTATTATGCTCTCAACATTTGTGATGGGGCTTTCATTTCATCCTTGCATTAATTTGATAATTTTAGTAGTATTATAATGTTCAGTGATTTGTCCGGGATCCCACAGATACAGCCCTGTAACAATCCAAGTATGTAAACTGTTATTTTTCACTCTTTGTTAAATTTGCAAAGGGAAGTAATGGAATAGGTTCTGGCCTTTAATTCTTAAATAGTTTGGAATTTTAATGAGGCATATTTGAGGGATCCCTCCATTTTGAATAAAATCTGGTTTTGATCCTGATCTTTTTTCTAACTTGGTTAGTATGCTCCTATTTTTCATAATTACTTTTCTCATTTGTGAAATAGTTGAATTAGATCATCTCTAATTTCCCTTTTCACTTGAAAACTCAATTTAATTTTAAAAATTGAAGATGCCTTTTCTCAGGTTAGAGTTCACTTTATACTCTATACAACATCTGATACATAAATTAGCATGGTTAGTGGTGTAATTGCGTTTCCTAAGTAGCCATTAGCTTATACATGATTCTTGAACCCACTTGATTTGACTATTGTTGAAATTATCAAAGTGAGTTTCTCTTTAGCAGGTTCAGATTTGATGTTAGAAAGCACTATGTCTCACAAGAAGATATTTTCTTTCCCCAACCCCTTTAAAAAATTTTTTTTAGTT